TCCCCCCAGACGGGCGTTAGAGAGGGGCGCGGCGGGGGTCCAACTGCGGCGCGCAAAACATAATTTTCGGCCAATGGCCATAAATCGGGGCGGCGCTGACGTTTTGATTGGCCGGCCGGATCGCTACCGTAACGGCGCAGAGAATATCCAGTGCGCTGGCCAATTTATTGCCAGCCCAAACCTTTTCCAATGTTACCCCCCCCCCTTCTCCTCCTCACCGCTTTTGCACCTGGAAAAATACGGAATAACGGCGGGACGATGTGTCCTGCAGCAGGAGATATGGCGCGCGCTGCGCCCAGGTCCAGGGCGGGCGGGCCTTTCAAACGGGCCCTAATGGATGGAAAGCTTGGCACCACATTCCTTATCTCAAATCTCAAAAATGCATTTTTCCGGGCGAGACGGGAACTATCCTCCATCAGCCCGTGTTTGTTACGCACCACATAAAACGTAGCACATGCATGTCCAGTCCATGCATATAATATTTTATACGAATTATTTTCTTATAATTTGTTTACGGCTTGTGGTTGGAGTATGTTAAAGGGGTAAAGGGGGAGGGGGCAGCCTAACCTCTGCTCGCCTCTGCTTGCAATTTTTTTTTAACGGTGCAGCAGCAGTCCAGTGCAGCTTGCAGACGCACCCAGGCCCCGCCGGCCCGCCGCCGCACTGACCGGTTTGGGGCCGGGCGGACAGCAGGCCCGTCTGCAAAATGTGCAAAGCCTGTCCTGGAGGAGGTGAAGGGACAGGGGGGGGGGGGGGCTAAATAATGACCGTTCACAATTGCACATAAAGGGTACCGGGGGCCTGGCTGGGCCGGACGGGCCGACCGACCGGCTGTAAATAAAAGAAAATGAGAATACTTCGTCTCATTCGGTCGCCGGCGCGGGATTAGAACCCGCGCCGGACGCAGAAATTCACTTCGGCGCTCAAACACATTTTCTGAGCGGGAGCGTCGCCGTCGTCGTCGCCATCCATGCCGTCTGCCAGCCAGCAGCCCGGCGCAAAGCGGGGCAAAGCGAGCAGCCTTCACCCCTCACCCGGGGAAGGAGAGGGAGGGGCGCAACGACACATCCGGGAAAAGACGCGTAAAATATTCCTAAAGTTGGCGAGCCCCGCGCGCGCGCGCGCATATAGCTCGCTCTATGTATCTGCCTCGCCCTCTCTCCCTCCCACAGAGCTTTTTCCTCCTCCAAATCGGCTGGCGGAAGCGAGTGCGACAAAGAAAAGAGCATATAAGGCGTGGAGCGAGAGCGCGCGCCCGCCTCGGACGCAGCCAGGTACTCACCGCCCGACCGGCTCCGGATCGCAATAGCAATTCAAATCCATACGCTCGGCTCGGCTCAACTACTCACCCCCCCCCCCTCGATTCCCTCTTTTCCTTCTCCATGCAACCGACTTGGCCAAAGTGAACTGCTCAGGCGAGCGCCGGCAGAGGCAGCACACCCGAGCCAAAGGCTTGAGGGTTAGACGACGGCAGGACGGGCGAAAGACCCGCGTAACAGGCTTCACGATTTCGCAAAAATATTGCATCTGTAGACTACATGCAAATTCGCCACCCCAAAGGCTTCCAAACGGCATCAAAATTTGGACAAAACAAAAATGTCCGTGATTGTCATTTCGAGTGCATATTTACCGTCCCTGACTGTAAAGCACCTTACGTGCCCGCGCGTAGTGGTACACACCTCGAACGAGACGACTTGCGGGGTCCTCAGACCAAATACCAATGAGGATTAACCATAAACGAAAGAAACTAGAAGAAACTAGAAGTAGAAGAAGAAGAAGAAGAAGAAGAAGAAGAAGAAGAAGAAGACATGTGCCCCCGCCGAGTTTAGAAGTGCAGTCCACGCGGCGCGGCCGCGGCGCTTAGCTTTGAATATTAAACGGACAAGCGTTTTAAGGCTCTCTATCGTTACCCCTCGGCATTATCGACGGCGCGGCCGCCAGCGTCACCTCCGGACTCCGCTCAAGGGGGCCCGAACGTGCTTCATATCACGAAACGCACCGGGGGGAAATTTCCTATCTGTTAACCTCACCAAGAAAAAAGAAAAAAAGAGATACGGGAAAAAGTTAAGGGAAAAAAAGAAAGGAAAAAAACGAATAACATGGCGGCCGGGACGGCACCGCGACGGCGCACCGCGCCCGTCTGTCTGTCTGTCGTGCAGGCAAGGTCTTAAGATTAGGCGCCGCTACTCAGTGAAAAACTAACTATACCTCAAGCGGTTTGACGGCTTGACTTAATTTTAACCCACGCGCGATATAAATTTCAACTCACATGAATACACTCTTTAACGAAAAGAAGAAATACGCTTTCTACAAAATATGTTTCTCGAGAGCGTTAAATGCTCGAGGAATAGATCCCCCCTCCCGCGCACCATTATTCGGAGAGAAGCAGAGAGGGGAAAAAATGGGAGAAAAAACAACATCTGAGAGAAGTTTAAGAGGCGCGAGGCATCGCCAGGAATGCACCCGCGGCCCGCGGGGCTATCAACAGCCACTCAAAAATGCCCGCTATTTTCGTTTTACGAGTGAAGCCCCCACCCCCCGCTCGCCTCCTCGCGCGCTTATATCGCACACTGCAGCAGCCTCTGCAGCGCCAAATTATTATTACATCACAAGGAGTCGCGTGGGCCGGCCGCGCGTCTCCGGGCGGGGGGAGGAGAGGAGAGAGAGGGTGGTAGTGGTGGAATACTTACGGGTAGCGTGGAGTGGGGGGGTTCTCCCCCCATACCCCCAGGGACGGGACGCTGATGGCCGACGAGGCAAGACACCACGCCCAGGGCTCCGAGCACGACCACGGCCAGAGAGATGACAGCTACCACGCTCCACACTGCAAGCACAAAACACACGAGAGCATGACACAAATGTTTGCGCGCCGCCGCAGATCCACTGCTGCTTGCTGCTGCTGCTCCGAAATGAGAAATTTGAGAATGAAACATTCCACACGACTGCGCTGGCTGGGCCCGCTTGCTATCCCGCGCCATGCCATGAGCCCCCACGGTATGTACACGGACGGCATCCCGAAAGCCGTGAAAGGGAGAAGCGGGGAGTTGGGGAAAGGGGGGAGAGGGGCATACCGGCGCGGTCCTACGGGCCTACACGGCATACATGTTGCATGAGCGGGGCCGAGGCGCATAG